AAGCTGCTACCCCTGCGACCCGACCCCGGATAAGCGGAAGAAAATGCATGGATGGATGGATGGATGGATGGAGGAAATTATAAACTACTGTAAATTTCGGTCTATAACCCGCTACTTTTTTACAGGCTTTGAACCCCACGGCTTACACAATGCTGTGGCTAATTTATGGATTTTTTTTAAAACAGGCTAATGAGCTTCCTGCTGCCAAAAACATTTACCTTAGCCACACGCGGGTGCTTACATACGTATCTGCCCAATACATGTCCTTCTGGGGGGGTCCTCATGACTCATTGAGACTACATGTATAAATAAAGGTTAAACAAAATCTGACCAGTGAAATTACTGAACAGGTCACAGTCAAACCAATAAAACAGGAAGGACAGGAGAGAACTGAGAGGGAGAATCCCCCCTCATGGGGAGGGGGAATTCTTCTGCATTTGCAGAGCATGTGAGGGGGGACTCACATGCTCACAGAGCAACTTTTGCTCCGTGGAGCAGGAAGACAATTTGCACAGGATGAATATGAATATGGCGATCAATGACTTCCTGGTACGCTACTGTATTGTTTTTATTAACCAGCTGTTATCGGCACTGTTCAGAAAAAAAAAATACTGTACATATTTGTGTATGTTACCAGTACATATTGTAGCATTATGTCATTCAATGTGGTTGACTGTTAGTCACATGGCCTCAGAGAGGGATTATGGGTAAAATTTATCTTTGTTAATAATTTTGGTTAGCTGTTTAGCATTGTTCTTTTAGTGATTAGTCTGTTCTTGTTAGCCTAGTTTATGTTCATTATGTGTTAGTTTGTGTTAGATCATTCAGTAAACCATGAGTGAGGGTGGTAGTTCACTCTATCTATGTGATGAACAGTTAAATATAGTCTATAAAACACCATCTGGTAGTTGATTCTTGATCTAGAAGAAGGGCTGCACATCTCTATCAGTAGCTGTGTGATGCCACTCATGTTACAGCATGGACAGCTTTTATATAAAGCGGTTTATATATATATATATATATGCAAAATCTTTTATTCAGGTGCACTCAATAGTCCAGAAATTACGGTAAATCAAAGAAAGGAGGCATTTATATGGATGATTTTTACCCAAGCTAAGAATGTTATTTTTCAGTATTTTGTTCATAGCTGTTCCCACCTGGTGGGAACACATGAATAGTTCAGCTTTTTTGTTAGAAGGTTTGGAGGAATATATATATATTTTTTTGGTACAAAAAAAAAAAGGAATATTGTTTTTAGGCCTGTCGTGATAAACAATAAATCAATTAATCAATTAATCACATGATAAATGAAAATTATCGACCTCATTTTCATTTATCGGCTTTATTGTTTCTTCGTGTCTCTCTCTTTCTACTAAAGACACTGGATGACAAAAGATTCAACTCCAGTGCTCTTCACTGACCCCTCCCTTTCTCTTTTCTCTTTAAAATCAGTTTTAACAATCCAAAATCACGTTTTTGGATCATTAAAAGCAGCTAAGCTGAGAAGCTAAGCTATGAGCTAAGCCAACAGGCCAACCTTGGGGAAAAAACCTCCGTCTTGTCGAAGCTCCAAAATTCACAGTTGAAACCCGTGCCTACGTGTAAAAAATTGTTCTTCTCTGCAAAAAGAAGCTGAGAACTTGTTTACTTTTTAAAATTTTTATTAAAAGCTTTGTGTGACAAATGCTATGCTAAAGAGCTCAAACCACACAGAGCGTCTGCCATTTTGAGAACTGAAAAACAGGAAGGAGAGACGTCAAGGGGCCTCCCTCCCATTTTTCTTAGAGAGACACGCTGCTCGCTCCCTCACTATCCATCCTTCAGTTCAGGCAGTCTTATACTGCCATTAAGTGGAAAAAAAAAGTACTACACTTAAAATAAATTAACATTTCTTCTTAAATTTGACAATTATTGTCAAATTTCAAACAATATTATCGTTTATCGCAATAATTTCTGAGACAATTAATCGCCCAGCAAAATTTGTTATTGTGACAGGCCTAGTTGTTTTAATTAAAGGAGGGGGAAAAATCATTTATAAATAAACATTCCAGTCATTTTGTACAACAACATTCCTCATAATTTTCCATATGCGTTTAAAGAACGTATTTCTTTGTTAAAGAATTGATTCATAAATGTATGTGAAATAAACGGGTTTTTCCATTACTATAAGTACATTAAATGTAGAGTACCTGCTTTTTATTTGTGTCCTATTGAAGTCATGGAGAAATGATTATGTTGTTGCTTCTTAGCATTTGTTTTGTTGACAACTTTCCCTGGATGTTTTGTAGCCTTCATAGCTGCTTCAGCACATCGTTAACTGAAGCTTCTTTCACGTTCTGGCAACACGTAACCAGAACAGCCATAGAGCTAGAATTTACAGAAACTAAACTGAGAATGGGCTTGAGATGCACTACAATTTATTTAAAATTTAAAGTCATTACAACAGTTAAAATACATATTTCCAGTGATTTTAATTTTTATGCTTCTAACACAATTTCTACATCATTAAATTATTGTTTGGGGGTATTATAACTAAGTAATCCTAAACACTTATTTTTATTTTATTTTTTTATAAAACTTTAAATATTCCTTGCTTTTGTTTCTAGCTAAATTTGGCAGTCAGGCACAATCTAAATGTTCCCATTAGAGTTCAGAATATCTCATCACAGCTTATTGTCATCTGATTTATTCCCAGCATTTACTTTAATGCTCTCCATTGCTCTACTTCCTCCTTCAATATGCCTGTCCACTCATGTCCACACTGCTTTTAGTTGCCATTTCTTTTCAGATGTTGAAAAGTCTTGTGTCTTTAGTTCAGGTGTCCTCTTAACTCTGTTTACATCTGGGAATTGTTTTACCAACTTAATATCCATTGCATGCTGGTCCAAAATGTTGTCACTTCTCGATTATAAATGAACAACTCAAAATTGGTGACAACAAAATAAAAATTTGCTGATTTCACTCATTTATTACAGCTTATGCTCTAGACCTCAAATTATCATCAAATGATTGGGGTGGCCAAAGATGAATCTATGGTGGCCAAGGCCACCCTTGGCCACCCTGGCTAATAAAATTGCTGCCTCCACTTGCCAGGATCCATCACTCTTTGTTGCCTCAGACAAGCTAAATAAATAAAACTACCTCTATTTTTCTACAGTGTAATACTTGAAATTCTTGCACCAACAACATTAAGGTTTACTTGCATTCTTCTGTTCAGTTCAAGCAGCTTGTTTTTATTATAAATGATACACACTTACAAACAATTAGAAGAAAAATGAACATGCTGTGTATTTTGACAGCTATTGTGTGTTAGCGCAACAAAACAGAACATTTATAGACATTTTGGAGACTCCCTTGTGATTGCTGTTCACCAGGTAGTCTCCAGAGGTCATGGCATGTCCAACAAGATTCCATCCATCCATCCATCCATCCATCCATCCATCCATCATCTTTACCCAATTTTTCCTTTTCAGGTGGCGGGGTTCACTGGTGCCCATGTCCAGCAGTCACTGTATGAGAGGTGGAAGACACCCTGGACAAGTTGTAGAGATGCACCGATTGCATCGGTCCAGATATCGAAAAAAAAAACCTTCTGGATTGGGTATCGTGACAATGTGACCAATCCATGACTGGGCAGATCTATTCACTCTAATTCTATGCTTTGTGCTCTGAGTGACGTCACTCGCTAGTGAACTCGCCACACAGATTGTTTTCAAAATGGAGCGAGCGAAAGGATCAGCCATGTGGAACTATTTCACACTACCTCAGCCAACACATTCAACAGCTACGTGCAATACGTGCACAACGACAGTTCCGTGGGTGTCACTAAAACTTCCAGTTATAACACTACCAACTTAATCAAACATCTCCAGAGATTTCACCCTAAAGAGCACGCTGAGTTTGTTCAACAGAATTCAGCACTGGTTTTCTGTATCATATCGGTATCGGATCGGTATCGACAGTTTCCAAACAGACTGTATCGGTATCGGAAGGGGAAAAGTGGCTCGGTGCATCCCTAGCAGTCCATCACAGGGACACATAGAGACAAATGTTTTTGACAACATCAACATTTCAAAATTCTCATGTATGTTTTTAAATCAGTGAACAGTTCCGCCCCATCCTATCTCACTGATCTTCTGCAGCCATATGTCCCACCGCGCTCTCTGAGGTCAGCAGACCAGATGCTTCTCTCAGTCCCAGAAACCCGTCGTAAGCTCAGAGGTGACAGGGCTTTCTCTGTTGCAGGTCCACGACTGTGGAATGAGTTGCCACTGAGTGTCCGGCAGGCTCCCACACTCTCAGTCTTTAAGTCTCGCTTGAAGACCCACTTCTATTCGCTTGCCTTTAACACGGTGTGATTTGTTTTGGCCCGGTCTGTTCTCTACTCTGTTGGCCATTTTAGTTAGCTTCTGCTGCTATTTGTATCTGTATTTCTATTTTATGTTTTCCTGTCTGCTGTGCATGTTTGTTTTCTTTTGTACAGCACTTTGGTTGGCCTTGTTGCTGTTTTAAGTGCTATATAAATAAATTGGTATGGTATGGTAAATGAAACAAACAACCATTCACTCTCTCTCACTCACACCTAGGGACAATTTAGAGTTACCAATCAGCCTAACATGCATGTTTTTTTGTCTGTGGGAGGAAACCGGGGTACCCAGAGAAAAAGAACATCCAAACTCCACCCAGAAAGGTCCCCAGCCGGGATTTGAACCGACAACCTTTTCGCTGAGAGGCAACAGTTCTACCTTCTGAGCCACCACGCTGCCCCCAATGAGATACTACTTTAACAAAAACTCAGATTAATCGCTTTTTGATGTTACTAAATTTTATTTTATTGCCTAATACCACTTTTTTTTTTATTTTTTTTTTTTTATCAAACTGCCTTCTTTACTCAGCAAGTTAAAACACACTCTCAGTTGGCAGAATTAGTTTGCATGTTCAGAAGCTACATCAGCTTTTCAGTTTAAGGTTTTATTTTTATTAACGTGTGTGTGTTTCAGGTGGCGGCGGAGTACTGTAAAGACACAACTCTGCTGCTGATGGGAGTCATCTGCCTGGCAGCCTCCATAGAGAAATGGAACCTGCACAAGCGCATCGCTCTGCGCATGGTGATGGTGGCGGGGGCGAAGCCTGGCATGTCCGTAGTGCTTTTACTCCCAGACACATTCAACACTGACGCTGTTCTGGAACGAGAAATGAGCTCGCTCCTTCTCTTGCAGGCTGGTGCTGGGGTTCATGTGTTGCACAGTGTTTCTGTCCATGTGGCTCAGCAACACGTCCACCACGGCCATGGTGATGCCGATAGCGGAGGCCGTCCTCCAGCAGCTGATCTGTACTGGTCTGGCCGACTGCCTCGATGGCTCAGAAGCAGGAGACACCCGAGATGATGAAAGCGGTGGGTTTTGATCTGTCACAGAAGATTACCATCAGATTTCTGTAGCAGTCAATGCACCAAAATGAGTCCATTCAACTAAATGTATCGCAGATGTAAAAATAAACTTCATAGGTATTTTTTTTAATTCAATTGCAGCAATGACTGTTTTTTTTCCTGCAGCTGTTTCAAGTAAAGAGGAGAACCTGGATAAGAACCAGTTGGAGCTGCTCTATCAAAATGAACAGTATGTTTGTCCACAATAGAACAGTAATAAAGAATTATGAACAACCATTACTAATAAGTCAAATGACAAATATTGTATTTCTTGTGTCTATAGTAATAAATGCTATTAGCAGTCATTTTTAAATGTGTTTAAATTTTGATGATTATGACAACAATTAGTGTTTTACAATCTTGAGTGGCGTCCCAGTCTCAGTTATGGTAATCTGTGAAGAAAGCAATATTTCAATTAAATACCTCAAATAACCCAAATATTCACTTTTTTGAAATCAGATGTAGCATTCATCATTAAATACCAACATCCAGTTTAAATAATCTAAAAAATGTATGAAGAGTTTTTAAACTCATTTGTGCGTAATCTGTTGATAAGAGATTCTTACATCTCAGAAACTGCTGCTTTGATTTTATTGCTGCTGGATCAGATAACTTTACTGATTTATTTATTTATTGAACAGGTTAAAATGGCTTTTTACAACAACCAAACAATAATACTAATAAAAACACACCAACAGACCTTTACAAAAGTAAAAACAAACACTAAAGATAATAATAAACAAATCAAAATTAAGTGTGTAAATAAAGATCTCGCCAGCGTTTTATCTGTTCAAAGAGAAGTAGATATAAGTATAAACATTTTTAATCTTTCCCCTATTATTGAGAATCAGAATAAGCTTTATTATCATCGTACCGAGATACAGCGAGAATATGTCCGCACAGTCGTCCGAAAGATGAGCGGAGTGTACGTAGCTGCTGCTGTGATAGCGCGGCCTCTTATTCTTTTCAGAATACATTTTTTAGATAGAAAGAGGGGCAAAGCCATGAGGAGAGGATAGTGGCATTATAAAAAAGATCTCTTCACACTTTGTCCTAACAGGACATGATTTAAGACATCAAAAAACTCTGCCAGCAAGCACATTTATGAACACGTTACATATGCATTTGATAGCAAGGTGGTCCATGAAACACTAACAGATAGTCCATAGTCCTGATAAGTTGATGATCAGCTGGCACAGTTCTGATAAGACTCCACAGAAGTTCTGGGGGTGGGGGGTTGCTATAGACAAAGTTTTTCCTTAGTTTACACATTTTCCCAGTTTCAAGGCCAACCAGGGGAGTCAGATTCAGATAACCCCAATTGTTGATTTTCTTCAGGCAGACTATTTTCTTGTCATCCTTGAGTCCTACTGGTACTTTCAAGATCCAAAATGGCCAGTGTAGGGTGCATTCTACTGGTCCGTGCTTACGAGCCCCTCCAAGGTCATTTCCAGCATGGTGGTGAGTCCCAAATCTGTAGGTGGCCTGTGATTCTCACAAATCACTTCCATCTTATGGTTTAACTCGTAAATCAGCTGATTTTGAGTCCTCAACGCACAAACCAAACCTTCACAAGCAGGCAGCCTGACGAGGGCCAAATTAGCTGCAGCTGTCTTGTCTTCTTGTATGTTGATAGACCAGGAACCAGACGATTCCAAAAAGCAGGAAACATGTTATCATAAATCTGATTGTAAACATCTTCGGTGTCCTCCTGAGATTCTCAGCAAAACATGTGGGCTCTCCAGGACCCTGTTGCTTTGCTGAAAAGATTTTATCAATTGCGTTGAAAGTCCAGTTGGTCAGATCCAAAACAGTAGTTTTCATTTTGGAAGATGTGTAAAAATAGGCGCTCCGACACACAGACAGAGTAAAAAAGCAGCAGGAGAACAGGAGAGGGAAGAGAAAGCGTCCGCCTCTACTAGAGCGAGTGAGGGAAATTATTTGGGTTATTGTTGTTGTTATTATTACTATTAGTATTGAGGACTCTGTGCCGGTCTGTTGTGGTGAAGAGAGAGCTGAGCAGTAAGGCAAAGCTCTCCGTTTACCGGTCGGTCTACGTTCCCACCCTCACCTATGGTCACGAGCTCTGGGTAGGGACTGAAAGAATGAGATCGTGGATACAGGAGGTTGAAATGAGTTTTCCCCGCAGGGTAGCTGGACTCTCCCTTAGAGATAGGGTGAGAAGTTCAGTTATCAGGAGAGACTTACAGTAGAGCCACTGCTTCTAGAGGAGCCAGTTGAGGTGGTTCAGACATCTGGTAAGGTTGCTTCCTGGATGCCTCCCTAGGGAGGTGCTTCTGGCATGTCTGACTGGGAGGAGACCCCAGGGAAGATCCAGGACACACTGGAGAGACTGTCTCTTAGTTGGTCTGGGAACGCCCTGGAGTCCTCCCAGAAGAGCTGGAAGAGGCTGTGGAAAGAGATGTCTGGGTCTCCCTGCTCAAGCTGCTGCCCCCGAGACCTGACTTGGAACAAGAGGAAGAAAATGTTTGGATGGTTAAAATAATTTATAATTATATAATGCATTATATAACAAACCAAATTCTAAACTTATTTTCAAACCAACTGAAATGTCGTATTTTTACTTTTATAAACATTTCACTGAACTTGATATTAAAATAATTTTGTGTTTAAAATCACTTGCTCAATATTTTTTTCAGTTATTTTCTTCTCTTTTTCCAGGAATGGCTGCGCTAAACAGGAGCTCAGTGCGCTCTGCGACGTAAGACAGATCTACCTTTACTCTTTAAATGTGGTTGAAAAGTAGAATCTTAGGAGCATGGAAAGAAAACTCAAATTCTATTTACTTCTGATGTATTTTTTATTCTTCATCTTATGTTTTACATTTGTCAGGGACAGACTGGTGAGGCGAATGGCATGGGTCTGCAGTCAGTTTTGAACAAATCGTTCGTCATCCAAACTAATGGACACTTGCCGCAGGTTAGGAGACCATCCTTGGTTAGAGTACTGACTCGGACAGACGGTTGTCGTTTCTGTTACATCGTTCTATTCATTTCTTCTCAGGTTGCTGTTGAGATCCCGAATGTGAAGCGGGTGAAGGCCAGGAGAGACTCCCAGTATCCCACCAAAAAGGACCACATGATCTGTAAATGTCTGTCACTCAGCATCACATACGCTGCAACCATCGGAGGCCTCATCACCATCACTGGCACGTCCACCAACCTCATCTTTGCTGAGCATTTTAACACGTAGGTTCAGTTATTTTATTTTATATTTAGAAATCCAAATTAGTAAATCGTCTGAAGTACTGGACTGGAGGTATTTTTCATTAATCCTAAAGTTTTATCGTTGAGTCAAACTTGTATGTCATGTTTTTTAGCCTTTGAGGTCTTTGGTATGTTTTTCAGCACTTGAGACTCAATTGTTGTCCCCCATTGCAGAGCAAACTGGCGGGGGGTGGGGGGTGGCTGGAAATACCATCCATCCTTCCATTATCTTTACTCTCTTTTTCCTTTTCGGGTCGCGGGGGTCACTGGTGCACATATTCAGCAGTCACTGTGCGGTAGAGTTGCATTCGGGCCCCTCCCCCCCAAAAAAATCTGACCCAGCCCGTAGCCATAATTTCCAAACCGCACCCAACCTGATGAATTAACAGTAATTACAGGTCCGAACCCGAACTCCCCCCCGACATTTTTAATTAAGCTTTGACTGCTTATATAGTTATTAACGGTCGGCGGATGTGCGCGGCTAAGGGGGCAGAAGATCGGAGCTGAGGGGGTGTTTGTCCTTTCATGACCGTCAAAGCGCATTAAATCCCTGCTTCTGCCTGCATTCTGCATTATTCATACATGGACATGCTCTGACATGTCGGATATTTTGTGATCTCAACTGTTTGGGTCATCAGCCGTGTGTCTGCTGAGTACAGCGGCTGAATGAACGTCCATTTGGGCTGATGGATCGCTGCCTGGCAGCACAGTCCCATCTGAAGCTTAACTGAACTTTTTTTTTTAACCTCTTTCAAGGGTCTAAGATCAAACAAATCAGCCTCTGTGTTGCTAATAGAGCCGATTTCCTGCAGCAACTAGTTTAAGCCCCACAGAATGGTCTCCTTCTTGTTACTGAGCAAAGGTCAGACTTTCTGAAAGTTCTGTGTGTGTTTGCTGATATTTGTAATCGTAATATTACTGTATATTACTGGGAACAATGGTACAGGTGAAAAAAAAACCAACCCTTCAAAGCATGTTTGGGTTTGAACTTTGCTGATGCGTTCGGTCGTCAGGCGAGTTTGAACCCATGTGCAGGAAGATAATAGGAGGCTCGACGTAAAAGGTTTAACAAATTTATTTATGAACAAAATCAAAAACGCTGACAGGGCAGCTTACTTACAGACAGGGTGGATGGGACGGAACGGGAGGCAGAACACAACACCATTGCAGGAAAGTCCCGAGACAAAGACAAGACACAGAGGAGCTGAATAAATATACAAGCTGATTGGTACAAATAACAGACACCTGCAGTGATTAACGTTAGACACAGATGAGACAAGGGCTGAACACAAGGAGGGAAAACACTGAGAGCTGAATTGGAAACATGAGGAAATAGACAAAGACAAAACCCCAGAAACCCTACATTTGTCAGATAAGGTATAAATTCAGAGCAAAAGAGAATCTTATGACAGTTACTTTTTACTAGAAGTAGACGTGGATGGTATGAATGCCATGAGAATCAAGAACAACAGTTCAAATACTTACAGTACACGTTTCTAAATTTCTCCTCAAACTGTGTTGATAACCTGATAAGACACCTTACACAAAGCTGAGTCTTAAGGGTTAGTAATAGAAAGACTGATGTCGGAGTTAAAAAAAAAAAAAGTTAAAGAAAGAGTTCCGGTATGTATGTATGTATGTATGTATGTATGTATGTATGTATGTATTATATTCCCGGCAGTTTTTTGGGTTATATCTGTGGGAAAACGGTCTAAAACGTTAAGGACACTGGATTAGCTTCACTTTCAAGAAAATTGCTATTTTATGGGCTATGTAGGTTTTGGTAATGAGCTTAACATGTTTCTTTATTTATTTATATTTATTTAACCTTTATTTATACAAGTAGTCTCATTGAGTCACGAGGACTCATTTTTAAGAGACACTTACTATTAGTAGCATGATCCTGTTAGTAGCATGGTCCTGTTAGTAGTATGGTGCTGTTAGTAGCATGGTGCTGTTAGTAGCATGGTCCCGTTAGTAGCATGGTGCTGTTAGTAGCATGGTGCTGTTAGTAGCATGATCCTGTTAGTAGCATGGTCCTGTTAGTAGCATGGTGCTGTTAGTAGCATGGTGCTGTTAGTAGCAT